GGTATGTCAGTGCCATGGTTGACACTGGAAGCACTTTCTCACTGATCCAAGAATCCTTTTGGAAGCAGTTGTGTCCCCAAGAGCAATGCCAACCCAGCGAAGGACAATCTTTTCTATTGGCCAATGGACAAAGACAGATGGCTATTGGTAAGGTGAAGTGGAAGTGTGAGGTGTTGGGACAATCAGTAGACCTGACTCTTTTCCTTTTACAGAATGCTGATCTGACGGTACCAATCATACTGGGAATGGATTTTCTGTTAAAGACTGGAATGAAGCTAGACTTTCAGAAAGCCCAGTATAGCCTACCCACAGCAGAAGGGGTTATAAAAGAAAATAATTTCCCCTTTCTCCATTATGACATCCACCCCACCATGCATTTTTACCTTGCCATTTTCACACCTACCTGCAGTGATGAAACTCGTCAGAACATACGTCTCTGGCAGCAGACACAGATCCACAGACAAGAACAGAGCTGGAGAGTCTGATGTTGAACTGGCCTACTGTTTGTACCCAAGAAATAGGTCGGACAAACCTAGTTAAACATTGCATCATTATCACCGATGAACAACCAGTACAGCGACGTGCATACAGAGTCTCCATTGAAAAACAGCAATTCATTGAAACCCAAATCCAGGACTTACTAACCAAAGGGATTATTCGACCATCAATTTCTGCTTGGGCTTCTCCAGTAGTGGTAGTTCAAAAGAAGGATGGAGGATCCAGATTGTGTGTTGACTATCGTGGAATGAATGCCAAGACACACTTGGATGCCTACCCGATGCCCCAGATACAAGATATTCTGAAATCACTAAATGGAACCACTATCTTTAGCACTTTGAACCTTAAAAGTGGCTACTGGCAGTTAGAGATGGAGGCTGACAGCATTCAGAAGACAGCTTTTGTAACTTCCACTGGGCTATATGAATTTGTTTGTCTTCCCTTTGGCCTGAAAAATGCTGCGGCCTCTTTTCAAAGGCTAATGGAACATGTTCTCCGAGAAGTGAAGGGCAAGTGTTGCATGGTCTATATTGACGACATCGTGGTGTATTCTAAAACCATGACAGAACATCAGCAACACCTCCA